GGGGGGGGTGGAGTGAGAGACAGAGGGACAGAGAGAGAGAGACAAAGAGATATAATAGATAGATAGACAAAAGAGGGGGGAAGTAGAGAGCGAGAGAGATAAAAGGAGAGAGAGAGGGGGAGAGAGTATTTGAAGATAGTATCAATTTCAAATACTTGAACAAAAATTATGTTGATCACTAAAACAATGTAAACAGGGCAGTTTTTCAAAACGTGTAGGCATAGTGAGGGAAGAAAGTCCCATTTCCGGACCTCTTTCTGACAGAATCCATGTCAAACTGACAAAACGTTGAGGTGAGCTTTTAGATTTCTCATAAGATCGAACATTTAACTTGTGTTAGTGTGAACAGTATTCCCACTGTCCTACGAGCCAAATAAAAGAAAGTTTACAAGATAATAATACAACAAAGAATAGTTTCATATCGCTACCTCAGAATTATAAAGTTCTCTCTGCACAGCACCTAGATCTAGATCTAGGTTTGAGAAATTTGACGTCCAAGATTTTGAGTTTCACATCAAGCTTTTTCGAATTCAATTCTTTGAATATCTTGATATTGACTCCGAATAATCTTATTATTTTGATAGAGCAGATAGAAGATTTATTTGGTTTCTGACCTCATGGTCTTAGCAACTCTTAAACTGCCAAAAAATATGTCCGATAGAACTTAATAATTTTGAGGTGGCAAAATATCCATGTGTAGCATACATGTCCTTTCGTTCAGCAAAATATTAGAACGCGTAGAAAAACAGCGAGCATAATCCTGTTGTCACATGAAGCGAGATACACACACCTAAGGCCTCAGGACGAGACATGACATTCGTACATTCACTCGAACAGGTTGGCGACTTTCCCTGAACTCTCACTCATGAACAAACGTACTACACATAACAACACACAAGGTTAGTCGCCACACATTGTCTTTTTTTACCACTATTTATTCTGCTTAACGCTTTGATTAGAGATGTATATTATTATACTCTCGTCGGTGTCACAAAAAAAATCCTGTTATAAAGTCCGTTTTTACATCAAAGAAAAAAAATTAGCTTTTGATGTTTTGTTCCATTCAGAAATCATGAAAAGCAAGAAAATAGTCAGCCTTTACTGAAGCATTAAACTGCATTTTGATTTTTTTTTTAAAGGTGTATCTTTCATAGAGATCTGGGAGGCTGCAAAAATCGAACATTCTCAAAATCTGGACGTAAATGGGTTGCTTAAGATGGCGACGATTGTACTCACCTGATGTCTGTCTCCGATATCTGGAAAATAATCCCCAGGTTTTCTCCTCACTCTGTGTCAGTGCGGCCATACCTGGCGGGACAGGGGAGAGTGCGTGAATGAGTGAGGAAAGGGACATTTGAATAATCAGTGAATGAATGAGTGAGTGGGTGAGTGAGTAAATAAACTCAATAAAGTGAATGTAGGTGATCTATAAATATACACACATTATATATATATATATATATAAATATACATATTATATATATATATATGATTTTATATATTTATATATAATTATATAATATTTTCATTATAATATGTATTATATATATATGTATACATATGTATGTATGTTTGTGTGTGTGTGTGTGTGTGTGTGTGTGTGTGTGTGTGTGTGTGTGTGTGTCTGTGTACTTAATATGAGGCTTTCGTGGTTGAGAAGTTACGGGGTTCGCCTCTCATGCAATAGCTCCCGGGTTCGAATCCGGTTAGCGACGGAAAATTTTCTTCTTTAAAATTGTCTAATTTCACCTCGTTTCATGCTCTCAAGCAATGTTCTGTTGTGTTCTTTCGTCTCTACTTTCTGCCCCCACCCCTAAACTTCATTTGCCCCCTCCTCTGGGCTCCTGACTCTTTCTGCCGCCTTTCTACGACTACTCCTTGGCTCCTTCTTACTGCTGTCTTTCAGCCCCACCCGTGGCCTTCTGGTAGGTAAGATCCAACTCCTAGCCTTCTCGGATGGTGGCGCGAAACCTTGGAGGTCCGATGAGTAAGTTGTGCACGTTAAAGACCCCATAGTCGTACAAAGTCGATATGAATAGGTTCTGGCCGTCGCCGAGACAAAATGCAAATTTCCAAACTGGAAATGTTTCATGTGTCCCGTACGCTCTTATGACCTTACAATTTGCGAACCCCGCAAAACACTTACCAGAAAAAAAAAAACACACACACACACACACACATATATATATATATATATATATATATATATATATATATATATATATATATATATATATATATATATATATATACATAATTATATATATAATAGAAGTACATACTGTAAGACAGATAGATAGATAGATAGATAGATAGATAGATAGATAGATAGATAGATAGATAGATAGATAGATAGATAGATAGATAGATAGATAGATAGATAGATAGATAGATAGATAGATAGATAGATAGATAGATAGACTCACCTTGTTCAGGAGCAACAACACAAGAGCATCTCTATAAGACATCTCTGACGTCCACATCAAAGAGTCCTTGTCGGTGTAGAGGTCAATAACCCTAGCTTGCCATACAATGGATAATGGTCTTTGTGTGAACGGGAGCTGCTGCTTTCCGAAAAAGAAAATATGTAGGCGTTGGAATGGTGTGCTCAGATGTGGGGATATACAAATTACTGTGAGTGTTTTTACATCCCCATCGACACCTTTTAGATCATTCAAGGGCAAATCTTCCGACCCTGCCTGTCAGGACAAACCCCTTCTGAGACAAATACAACGTCCCAATATATAGACTGATGAGGTGCTCCCACTTGGGAAACGAACTTGGGTCTTCTGCTTGCGACAGCGACGCGCCTAACCGCTACGCCACGGACGTCACAGATGATGGGTAGGAAGACAAAGGGTTGGGATGGTTGGCTTAGAAGGTGGGTAGGGGGATAAAAGGGCAGGGATCATGAACTCAGATTGTGGGTGAGAATGGAGACATATTTGGGGGTTAAGGACCGGGTAGGCGGGTAGTCGAGGGGCGGGGGGTAGAAGGCTGGCGCGGTTCGTCCGTAGAGCACTGTCGTGCAGTGCCGCCCAATTTTTTAAAAATGTTCTATGACGTAAAACACTCTCAATAATAACATAAAAGGAGCCAGAAACAAGCTCCAGCCAAATATTATATCAAAACAAGGTCCTCACTGGCGCCATAGCTGTCAATTCTGTGTCTATAGCGCCGTAAAACATCTACTATGCCATGCCAAAGTCCACCGGCTTTAGCTAAACATAATGGGATATTCAAAGGTGTAACCTGACCTATAAATCGCTCTTGGGGATAACCCAAGCGATGATGACACTCGTAGCGAGTTTGGCGGTACATAAATATTAATAAGACGGCACATCTCAAACGTGCTCCAGCCGAACAGTGCCGAAACATAGCCCACAGTAGGCAGTCTAAAAATAAACGCGATAGACCGTACGCTATTCTTTGCCAATATCATGTGAGCCCCGGAGCAATTCAGCTGAGTGCTCAAGTGAATTGTTGTTGGTTCATTGTCTGTCTTGCCACTATATTAAGTGACTCTGTGACCGTGACCCTGAGGGAGGTGAACGTGACCGTCCTATGACTTGTGCCTTTGAATGATTTTATAGTGGAGTAGTTAAAGTTATTACTTGAGTGTTCAGTTCCAATACAGGATGAAGGAAATTGGTGTTTAACTAACAAACAAATTTAGTACTAGAAATTAACGCGACAAGTAAAAAGAATGAAAATAAAAGTACGAGGTCCTCCCTCACGAACCCCAAAGATCCTAAAATTGCTCACCGTCTCATTTACTATGCCCTTGACTATCTTCAGCATGCGATAGCTTAATTGTGCACGTCCACTTTTTAGCCCCACGAGCCGCCCCTGGTAGAAGGGTACTGATTGTGTGGACGATCAATCATCGAGTTTGAAGCAAACTGAGCTCCATATCCCCAGCTAAAAGAACCGCTTTTCTAAACTCAAAAGGTGGAACTTTGTAACGACCTGGAAGGTGGGAGAAAATGCTGCCTGGTAGCGGTACTATCATAACGTCAAACTAACATTTGGCGATCTGAAGATAATATCTGAACAAAAGCGTATTGCAGTGAGATGAGAGCGTCTTTTACAACCCTTATACAGCTGTTCAAATACTACAAAAGACGACAGTTGTCATAGGAAGCTGTCAGTTTATGCCAGAACTGTTACGTTTAAATTTGAAAAGCTCACAGTGTTGGAAAAGTACTCAGAGATCTAAACCCCTTGAATTCACTGCCCCCCCATATATATATATATATATATATATATATATATATATATATATATATATATATATATATATATATACATATGTGTGTGTGTGTGTGTGTGTGTGTGTGTGTGTGTGTGTGTGTGTGTGTGTGTGTGTGTGTGTGTGTGTGTTACAGTAAGAATGCGTACCTAGTGAATACGCGTAATCATTGAATATTTTAGTGAATACACGTAATCCCCGTTTCAGTTTCACTCAGGGGTTTCACATAATCACTGAAATTTCTAGTGATTACGCGAAATCCCTAAAATTAGACCTATCATTTTACGTGTTTTTACTACTGAGCATTCAGTAAAATCACGTAATAGCCCCGCCACTGTACAGTGATTACACGTTTTCACTGAAATATTCAGTGATTACGCGTATTAACTAGATTGATATATATATATATATATATATATATATATATATATATATATATATATATATATGGATATGCCAGCTGGCAAACAAGGAGACAACGTTTGTGTGCCAGTTCCACTTGTTGGTCGAGGGAGAGGCGATCCCAGAAAGACCCTTGGTGTCATAATTGACAGACAAGAAGAAAGCTGGTTTGTATTCCAGCAATCAGTTCGATCTGGGCCCTGAGCGTCTTCTGAACACTGACGACATAAACACCGAAAAAATAGTTTCAATCCTCTTCAGGTGGACAAGGCTTCACAAGATGCAACTGTACTGGTGCCAAAAAGTGTAGGTCACGGCGATGCAAATGCAATAAAGCAGGTTTTAGGTGTAACTTACGCTGTCAGAGCATCCTCAATTGTTGTAACAAGTGACGACGTCGATGGATCTTAGTCTTAAGTATTTAACTGAAAACTGAAACAACAACAACAACAACAACAATAGTGTCTGCCATTAAAAAATAAATAAATGCTTTGTTTTTAGATTGTGGAGCAGGTGTGTGTATGTGTGTGTGTGTGTGTGTGTGTGTGTGTGTGTGTGTGTGTGTGTGTGTTGTGTGAGTGTGAGAGAGAGAGAAAGAGGGAGAGAGAATGGAGGGAGAGAGAGAGAGAGAGAGAGAGAGAGAGAGAGAGAGAGAGAGAGAGAGAGAGAGAGAGAGAGAGAGAGAGAGAGGGTATCTTTTACCGAACTGACTATTTAAGCAATAAAATTTTGTATGTGCCTGATCATTGTTTAGAATTTTTTAATGCTTAGTTTTTAGATTCTGGAGCATGTGAGAGTGTATGTGTGTGTGTGTGTGTGTGTGTGTGTGTGTGTGTGTGTGTGTGTGTGTGTGTGTGTGTGTGTGTGTGTGTGTGTGTGTGTGTGTGTGTGTGTGTGGGTGTGTTTCCCCGGGAAATCAAATATATTCGTAGGTGCTGTTTATTTATAGAGGGCCATACAAGTACAAGTCGAGCACACCAGAGCCCGCCATCTGTCTGCCAACACAGAAAGACATACTGAACACATTGAAAATCCCATTCGTTATGATAGAAGGCTCAAAGTTTGTGACAATGCTAATAATAATAATAATAATAATAATAATAATAATAATAATAATAATAATAATAATAATAATAATAATAATAATACATAATACATAATACATTTAATGCGTAATATACGAGCATTGTCCTGAATTAATAAGGAAATGGCTATAACATGTAACAAACAATGGGTTATGACTGTGATACAACTTACACAAAGTGCTAAGCATTTTCCTTTACTTCTCAACAAAGTCCCTATAAACATAATTAATTGTTGTTGTTGTTCTTCTTCTTCTTTTTTAACTGCTACTATTATTATTATTATTATTATTATTATTATTATTATTATTATTATTATTATTATTATTATTATTATTATTATTATTATTATTATTATTATTATTATTATTATTATACTATTATTATAATTATTATTATTATTATTATTATTATTATTGTTATTATTGTTATTATTACTATTATTATTATTATTATTATTATCATTATTATTGTTGTTGTTGTTGTTGTTGTTGTTGTTGTTATTATTATTATTATTATTATTATTCCATGGAGACATTCTACATAATTTGTCAGTTCGACTACGTATACCAGACGCCTTAAGAAGGAGGACAATCAGAGTCTATTTTAATTTAGTTTTTTGTTTGTTTGTTTTGTTTTCGTGTGACTGGTTGTTGTTGTTGTTGTTTTTGCACAATGGTGAAGCGCTTAACGACCCCACTGCAGATGCCGGTATACATTTGTGAGGCAGCGTGGTGGAATCAGGCTCTCGTCAAAATAATCAAAGTGAAGAAACTTGCATTTTTCCGCTGGTTTGTGAATTTTTATAAAATTTTTGTTTTTTGGCTCATCACCTTTCATGCCCATTAAAGAACTCATTTCTGTGTAGATTTTCTGAAAAACGTTCAATACAGGAACAACAAAAAATGTCAATTTCCGCTTCCACGGACTCTTAAGCAAAGGAAATAACTAAAATTTGGCGGCCATTTTCTCACTAATTTTACCTCTGAAAACAGATGACCCTCACCTCCTTCTTTTGCAAATATCTCGATTTATATTTATGATAATTGGATATTTTTTCATCCAAATAAAGACAAGTGAACAAGCTTTAAGAAGATACCAATAACTCTACATGCCCAAAAATTGACGAGAGCATGATTCCACCACGCTGCCTCACATTTGTGTCAAGGTGCGGTGGAATCAGGTGCTCGTCTGTTTTGAGGTATGTGGAGGTATTGGTGTCATCTTCTGGCTTGTTCATTTGTCTTGCTTTTAATGAAAAAAAGTTAATATCTATCTATTCTGACAAGTATTCCATATATCGGTAATTGAAGAAGGTTGGGATTGCCTGGTTTCAGAGGTAAAATTAGCGGGCGCATAAATGGCTGCCAAAGTTGTGTGATTTCTACACCTTTAGAGTCCTTGAAAACATTCAAAATTACATTTTACGAGCGCCTGATTTCACTACAATGCCTCACGTTTATTATCGTCTTGTTATTGCTGTTGTTGTTGTTGTTGTTGTTGTTGTTGTTGCTGTTTTTGTTATTATCATTGAAACATATTTTCTGATGGATGAATTGCTCTTCAAAGTACTTCGACTATCAAAAGAATGTATCTCTAACTATACAGAACGATTTCTATAACTAGTCACTACTTTAGAATTACAAAGTTCTATCTGACACTTTTTTTGTCGTTTTGAGTTACGAAGACCATGTGATCTATCTGCTCTATCAAAACCATAGGAGTATTCGAAGTCGATATCAAGATATGAAAAGAATTGTTATCTTGACAGGTTGTGATAAACAACATTTTACGTCAATCTTCTAAAAACTGAGAACTGAGTGGATAGAACTCTGCGATTCTAGGGTGGCGAAGAGTTTCCACATCCTATGTTTAATACAATGTGGCACAGCATGGTGGAATCAAAAACTTACTTACTTACTTACTTACTTACTTACTTACTTACGACGG